TGGGCATTTGAAAGTGCGATTGTCACGTGCAGTGGCGAAACGTACTTGTTTGCTACTTCCTCCGCTACTTTTTTTGCATATTAAATATATAAATATTACATTGCAGTATGTGATCTCGTGATCCTGCGAGCGAGCGAGCGAGCGTAGATGCCCTCGCCCACAGTTAGCGCCCACGTTCCTACCTGCGCAAAGTTATTTTGCGCGATAATCTGTACCTATTAAACAATTGTTGGCGGGCGGTGCTGAACTGACCAAGTACATTGTTCATTTCACCATGTATGTATCCCACTAGGCACTAATTTATAGCAATCATATTATTATATTATTTTGAGTTAGTATTACTATTTTGCACAGATCCGTGTCAGGTTGCATAAACAATAAACATATGGTTACATAGAAATATACACAATTTAAAAATTCAATATGGAATTATATTAACTGGGCGGCGCTCGGCCTGTCACTCCGCCATATCTGCTTGCTTATGAACAGTAAAGACTGGGGTCCCCAGGTTGTATGGAATATGATAAAATACGCCATCACGGATCGGGAAATTGAGCGGCCATCCACAAAAGAAAAGCGGACTCATTTCTTGTTAATATCAATGATGTATATCAATTATGACTATGTATATCTCTTAATTGAACAATTTTGGAGTAAAGAAAAAACGGTTTTTCTTTCTTCAGAAAGCTGTATTCACTAAAAGTAAGAATATTAACATATTACTATTAGCAATTAATAATACAACTAAAAATTAAATCCCTTACGAAATTATGGATGCAATATTAAGCGATATATATCCTATAATTATATGTTCATTGTTTCAAGAACCCCTCCAGTAATGTTAAGTGAATGTCTCTAATGGGATGATAATCTTTTAGCCAGTCCAATCCCTGAGAATAATGAACTCGAATAAATGTCCTCTCTTTACTGAACAAAAAAGAAGATGACAGATTGCAAGAGAGCCAACATAAGGAGATGGTTCGTCCCCAATCCGAATCCCATGGCAGAGTTGCAGAGTTCAGTGCTGCATTCCTTACAGCTTGTCACTTCCCCACAACCGGTTCCACAAGAATATGTTTTTATTCCCAGTGCTTCAATCCTGTGCAGATAATGTGTTTTATCCAATAAAATTGGATACATTATATAAATTGTCATTGAAAATATTTCTAATGATTAATTAATGTACTAAATTAAATAAGATACTGTACTATAACTGTTGTTATTAATGTTTATGGGGTTAATTTAAATTTGCTTACGTCAAGCATTTCCCGAGACCACTGGTACAATCTACGTCAACGGCAGCGGAGGCTATACCGACTTTGCACTTGATAGCGACCGAGACTCCAACCAAGGCGGCCAACAACAGGAGAACTTTCATTGAATTCATTTTATTTCGGTTCCTTGATCAGAAAATTATCATGGTTGTGGGCAATACAAGTACAACAGTGATTTTAAATTAAGGGTATACAATTTGACTCAGACCTAAAAATTGAGTAGATTTGACGGGGGTTAGTGTCTCTTCATCAAATTAAAGAAATTATAAAAAATTGACTTAAATGACCGCTCCCTAAATACCCGCAACCCTTTTTCCGTAAAAATTCACGGCCGTCAAAAAGAACTGAACTGAGGTTAAAGAGAGTAGGGTATGGAATAGGAGAGCCATATTCACGAAATGTATTTAATTGTTGGGCTATTTTTAAATGCCGTTTCCTTGTAGCGCAGTAATAGTACTGTTCGACCCATTGTTTTATGAAGTATTATGTGATTAAACGCAGTAGCCGAGAATTTTTGAGTGTGGCTCGAAATTATATGCTATGTGTAAGACATCGCAGCTAGGTACCTAGCAGTAGCTACTAGCCACTAGGTGAGTTGGAAATGAACTAATTTTCGGGCTCATAGCTGTGAAAGGTTAAGATCTGCAGGGTATAAAGATAGCCATTAGCCATCTGCCGGATGTATCTTATAGGAGAGACTCAAAAGGAGTGAAGTTTAATGATAAGCCACTACTTAAGAGTCATGAAGACTCACTGACTGCCTGTTTATAAATTCCAAAAGTGGATTTATTAACCGTTTTTGTGTGCCTTATAAAAGAGATTTGTTAAGTCGGTTTTAAATATATAACAGCAGTGTATAAACAATACCTAATTTAAGTCAAACATAACAGTGATTAACACGAATGACTGGAATTAACTATGAATTCTAAGTCTTAAATACTTGTCATGCTTGCATCTATTACTTCACTATGCTGTCACGAGTTAAATAAGGTTTACACTTTACATTTGTTAACTTATTTCGATTTATGTATATGAAGTGATCCACTAATGGGAGCCAAGTAAGTTGTGGAAATAAATCAAATGAGGAAATGACTCAAAGCTAACCATCTGTGGTCACACATCCAAATTGATGTCACGGAGAGCTAGTGCTGCTAATACCTTAGTCGGTAATATTTTGGTCCGAAAAGAACCAAATTTGACCCCCCACAATTTTAACTGCATCTTTCCTTTCGTGAAAAAATATCGAAACAAAAATATTGATAAAAAATTTTTCCGTAATTATAACGGCATTGCCGCTTTCACACCAAATTTAATGCAACGAAACAGCTGCTGCTGAACTTGTATTATTATTATTCGTCTGAAGTTGCTGATCTGAAATTTAAATTTAAATTGTTCCTAGTTAACCCCTCATATTGAAGGGATGTGGGGAATAGCAGACAGATCGGACTTTTTGAACCAGAACTAGCTTCAATTCAGCAAACAATAACGTAAGCATACTTCTGGACATGAATGAAAGAAACGTTAAGCATAATATGACTGATATACCAAAAGGAACACCAAAATTTGACTCGGGGGGTTAAATTATGGGGGATAAAAATATGGACTGTTATAAATAGAGTTCTTTGGCCCGAAAAGGACCAAATTAGACCCCCCATAATATTACCGACTAAGGTAGTCTCCTAATACTATGTGTAGTCTCTCAATTAACAGATGTTGACTAACCTTATTGTCCCTAATTTATCCGACCCTATAAGTATAATTGACTAACCAATACGACTTTTCTTTGCGTTGGCACTAGAAGTAGATCCGTTCTATGGGATCGTGCAGGAAGCCCTATCACTAATTAGGGTGTCGCATAGCATGATGACATTATCAAATGATCAACCAACTAATTTGTTTAACGAGATTAACAAAATGCTTAGTAACTTCCTCGTTTCAACGGCTGCCAGATCTTGGGTCAGGAGTGATATGACCACCATATACGTCATTAAGTAATTAACATACAAGCTTGAAGCTTGTGCCGTATAATTAGTGATGTGATCCATTGAATATAATTGACCTAGAAATGGGCTAGATCTGGGGTAGAGTTCATATGAGGGGGACATATCATAGTCTTTTTTGAAAAGATAGGGTGCGGAGACGTGTCCTGGAGACATTGGAGGCATTATAGACACAGCTTTTGTTGGAGACATTGGGGACATTGGAGACATTGGGGACATTGGAGACACAGCTTTTGGAGACATCCTCAAGGAATCAAGAACTAAAAGATTCTTGTCTGTCTGTGTGATCCCTACTAGTTACTGTGAGTATAGAGCAATTTGTCTCCATTGTTCTAAATTTCTACAAAACTTGGTGAAAATGAATAGAAGGAATACGTTGATTACTAGAGACACAAACTTCAAAATATCCCAGTGCCCCTACTATCCATTTTATGTCCCCAATGTTCCCAATGTCTCCAAAAGCTGTGTCTCCAATGTCTCCAATGCCCCTAATATCCATTTTATGTCCCCAATGTCCCCAATGTCTCCAATGTCTCCAAAAGCTGTGTTTCCAATGTCCCCAATGTCCCCAATGTCTCCAAAAGCTGTGTCTCCAATGTCTCAAATGTCTCCAGGACACGTCTCCGCACCCTATCTTTTCAAAAAAGACAAGAGACATTGGAGACATTGGAGACGTGTCATGCCCCCCTATAAGTATATGGAATCAATCACATGACACATCCACAGCCTTCCGAATGTAGGTATGGACTTGAGAAGACCGAAAAAATATTTTCGGCTCATAATGATCAGTAGTAGTAGTAGTAGTAGGGTGAGTAACTGTAAGGGTAACTGTAAGGGTAACATGAAACATGGACAAAAGTAGTTTCCAGAAAAACTTTGAAACAAATTTCGACTTATAAAATTTTCGGTTTGAGTCATTCTCGATAGGTACTTCAATGGCAGAGCTCCTTCTTCCGAGCTCGTATTGCAAAGGGGAGGAAAGAGGGCGAATCTTGGCAAATCAATATTAACTTGTCAAGCTGGATCGCAATCAGTTAGTAGTGACGAGCTTCCTTTTTATGTTTCCTATTTAGCTGGCCTAGTTAATCTCAAAAAACGTATTACAAATATATTGTATAATATAAGGTAAAAATTAACAAAAGAGGCGCCAGTACCAAGAGATAAACCCTTTCCGCAATCCAGGTCCTGGGCAAACCAGAAAAATTAAACTAGTCATTACATTCCTTTTCGAGAAAAACCTTACTTTAACAGAGACCAAATTGTTGTGGATAGACTCTATCAGATAGAGGTGAGTCTCAGGTGGCTGGTGGTCAACCCAAAATCCAAATTTCAACAGTTAAGAACGTGAATAGTTCGCTAACTTTCGACGCATTAATATTTTGGGAAAAGTGCAGTGTGCCATGGACCTTACAACAGCGAATACTTTGAATAAGTCGTTATAATTGTCGACAACATTGCAACATTTGGTGACCTCCTAGCATATCTGAACACAAATACTTATTCTCTACTTTTTGCCTTCAGGGAAACAACTCGGTCGACAAAGTTTACGGAAAATTGTTTTTTTTTCTCAGTGACACAGGTTGTTAAAGTCTCAGTGACGGGGAATAAAGATCATTATTTTATTTTATGATTCACTCTGAAGTACTTAAACGACACACATAGTTTACAGTTTACATTAGAGAAGATGTTTGTTGGAATACAAAACTTTGTTTGCTAAAGAATACAACTTTATTGAGATACGAGGACAACACAATAAAAGAGTAAGAAAATATTTCTTAACATTTTGACTTGAATATCTGGCGATCTTAGTTTATCGGCAGATATGCAAGTCAAAACGTTCCAAGCATGCTTTTTCAGTAGATATGTTCATAATAATCAACATATTCGTTGAGTATGAAGCCCCGGCTCAGCTGATTAGAAGAACGCAGTGAGCGTCTGCAGGAAACAGCTGGTGTTGAATGTTGATCTTTATCTTACAACGCCGTCTACCGTCTTCAAACCCGCTTCTCGATTGATAAGAGAGTTGCACTTTTATAATTGAAACATAATAACTTACTGGTCATAATTACACTTTATAGATATTTAATGAGTTATTTTGTGATGAAGGCTGGATGAAACTTCAAACTAAAATAGCCGTAACTTACCTTAACTTAGTTGCCATACCATGCTCTTCCCTTCGGGTTCGAAGGTATGCCAAGTTTGGTCCACTTGAAGCCTCTGCTGCCGCCCACTAGCTGAACTGAAATTGTGCACCGATTAGTTTTTCACCAGAACTGAATACAGTTGGGGGAGGCATATTTGTTTTTACACGTAACAGCCGTTGAACTATCAGTTTCAAAACACGTGACAGCCATTCGCCAATCGGCTGTCACGATTCAGAAGTAATGAAAAATGTAGCTCGCCCGCCAATATCAAAGCTTCATAATCATTGGATTTCGTGCGGGACGCTAACCCTCAACTATGTTCGGGCATTATCACTCGCAGCACTCAATAGCCATTAAGCCACGGTATTATGGTATTCATGTATTAAATAATCGATAGAATGATCAGTTCTAGTTTGTTTCAATGCTTAATTGTAAATAGTATCATAGTCATACCAGCGTTAGCTAGGTTTAATTTTCGCACTGGGTATCTCCCAATTTCTACATCGTTGAGGTAGACTTGATATTCATCAGCTGAGACTTTAATCGTAACTTTGAACTCTTTGCCTGCTTTAAATCTTTTGTTGCTGTAATTCACCCTGAAAATAAAGATATTTTATTATTTTATTCGAAAAGTTGCTACCTACGATATGGCAGTAGTAGTAAAGTCATTCCCGATCTCATTTTTAAATCCCGGGATTCGGGAATCCCGACCGAAATAAATCCCGGGATTCCCGAAAATCGGGAAAAATTTCCCGGATTCCCGAAAATCGGGAATTTCCCGGGATTTCCCGGAAATCGGGATTCTCGAACAATAAAAGTTTGTTAAAACAAATGGTACCAATCCTGGAGTTCGACTACGAGTTTAATAAATGTGTACTTGAAGCAGTATATAGAGTGTCAATTGCAATTTTGATTAGAATTTTTTGGACTTAATTTCAATGAAGAGGATTCTATCAAAGACGTTAGCTCGTGAAAAGATAAATCCACTGATATTTCATGATCCGCCTCAGGTTGTTCATTGTTCATCGCTCTTTTGTCTTTGATTCTGAGTCATTATCTATATCTTGAATCTTCATCGTCGAGCAGTCAAAGCAGTCAACTCTGCCGAGTCAGGGTCTTCAGTGGTATTTTATTTGTCTTTGCGATGAGTGTTATATCATGATCATTTATTACCCAGCGTGAGCATCGAAGATTCGAGCATTATCAAGCTAATCTAGGCGCTAAAATTATTAAAATTACATTGCATAAAATTTCCCGAAATTCGGGAAATAAAAAAATTTCCCGGTCGGGAATTTCAGGTCAAAAATGGTCGGGGAATCCCGGGATCGGGAATTCCCGACATCGGGATTGACTTCACTAGGCAGTAGTGTTAATAATATTTTATATTATTGATTTACACAAATTGTCAACAGCTGAATGGTAAATAATGATAATAATATTGGCTTATAACTTATAACAATATATTATAACTAATCGCAATGACTGCATCATATACCTCTTCTCCGATCCCCAATTTCCAAATTTGTTGTTCAGCACAAGTACGTTAAATCTAAAGTCCACATGAAGCAGGATGGTATTCTGATTTGCTGCAATGTTCACACTGAAACCATTATAGTGGAAATCAGTAGCGGATAAAAGTGTGACTACATGTATTGATATCGTGAATTAGATTATGGAGTTCATTACAATTTTGTTTCATTCCCGGATGGTATAAAAAGTAAAACATTGATTCATGGACAACATGTTAAAATTCTCTATAACGTGTATAACACGTATAATATGAGCAAAATATACCTAAATTTTGAAGTACCATCCTGGTATACTCCCCAAGCGGTAATCTGGTTTCCTGGTCGAAGTGACGCCATATCGTATATCCCGCCCGATCTTGCGGCAATAAGACCTGATTTATCTGAAGTGTAAGGAAAAGTTATATGGACAGTTAGTCACTAACTGTATATTTTTAAAGGGTACATTTTTTTTGTTGGTGTAATAATTACGTACGCAATTTTTGGCCGTTTCAGAACATGTAATTAATAATTATTATTTTACTAACATAGCTATTATTTTGAGTAGCTTATTAATCTTTAGTCATCATGGCTTGGTGTGCAATGTGTATTCATGACGTGTGATTTAATAGTCCCAATTCTAGTTTAAGCAACGTGGTGATTATTTAATGAATGCAATCAACACGATTCAAGAATTTCTGGACAGTCTATGTGCGAAGACTGAAAAGTCTGCCGAAAATATGATGTTTTAAACCTAGTTCTTTAATTTTAGAGTTGTTATTTTGAGCTTATAGCAATAGTTTCAATTTACTCAATTTCTTCCACAAGCAGAAAAACCTTTACAGAATTAACAGAAATTGTTTTTAAAACTGACCGATAAAAATAAACAAGAAATGCGGCCGCTTTTATTTTGTGGATGACCGCTCAATTTCCCAGTCCGTGAGCCATCACGGACTATTACAGGGTTGATACCGTTTATAACCCTAAAGTGGTGTCAAGACTCAAGAGATTAAAATATAGAATATTACCTATTTAATTCGCGTTTTTAACACTACTTGGGGTCCACATTTTGGTCACTAAAATTCTTATTCCTTGGCTAATCTTTTATATTTTTATGCTGATTTGAAGGCCATTAAAGCATTTGAACCATTTAAAAAAAGTTTAAGTTGTATATCTTTTACGGTTTTTGCGGAAAGTCGTGTTAAAGTTGATACCGTGGTGTAGGAAATATGGATTCAGTAATCTTACTATATATATTTTAACGAGCCGATATTTGAAAACACGCATAACATTGTCGTATGAAAGTATGGGTAACACGACATCTGTCCGACAGCGACATCTGTCCGACAGCACTATTTTCTTGTGTTTGAAGTGATATCTCTAATTTGGCAGATAGAAATTGACCCAAACTTGCACAAATTATTTGTCTTAAAGCTATCTCACTACCTAGAAACTTTCAAGAAAATCGTATCGTTGGATCTTCAGATATATGCCTTGGAACCACTGCAAACCATCGAATTGGAGATATTTTTTGTGTTTAAGATGATATCTTAAATTTTGCACATAGAAACTCGCTCAAACTTACACAGATTATTCGACATTCGTCCTATAACCACCATACTTTTTCATTATGGAAAGTTTCAAGAAAATCGTACGGTAGGATCCGACATTTATGTTTATAAACTATTGTCCGAATAACCTATTTTCTGTCGGACAGATGTCGCCCAATAAAAAACCTTTATCATTTGGCTTCGTCAGAGTTTTCTCGGCACTATACCGAAAATAACCAGTCCCGCAACTCTTACCGTTTTCTTGATTAACAGACAGACATACAGACAGACAGACAGACATACAGACAGACAGACAGACAGACAGACAGACAGACAGACAGACAGACAGACAGACAGACAGACAGACAGACAGACAGACAGACAGACAGACAGGCAGGCAGGCAGGCAGGCAGGCAGGCAGGTAGGCAGGCAGACACACAGACACACAGACACACATTCTGAGATTATTATTTAAGATATGTCATCTCGCTTTATAAATAGTAAGAGCGAGAAAGATTTGAGAAATATTAGACAGCGGGGATATGATATTGTAAAGGGAAAATTGAGCTATTTTCCGCCATTATTGAAAAAGAGCCTAAAAAGTTTGGAGATTGTTTCTTTCACTAACATTGACGGAAAGAAAATGGTCACTTACCACCCAAGATGAGTCCGATCAATCCCAGACCAAGGACAAGGTGGAGGCTTCTCATCTCAATAAGTTATTACAAAATATTTCACAGTGGGGAAACAAAACAATCAATTCGCTATAAATAAGTGCCTCTGGGCAATATATTAATTACTCAATCTGTTTGTCCCTCATCAAAGGTAGTCACTCTTGCAGTTACCAATAATCAGTTTTTCGCATGTAGCAGTTTGTTAGTCTCGGTGACACAAATATTTTACGGGAAACAGTAACACAGATCATTATTTTATTCCACGATGTACTCCGAAACATTTATACGACTCACATAGTTTACATTATAGAAAATTTTTGTCGAAAAGTAAAACTTTGTTTGCTAAATAGTACAACTTTATAAGATAAAAGGACAACATAATAAAAGAGTAAGAAAATATTTTTCTAAAATCACCAGATATTCAAGTCAAAATGTGAAGTTCCAGCATGCTTTATTCAGTAGATGTGTTCATAATAATCAACATATTCGTTGAGTATGAAGCCCCGGCTCAGCTGATTAGAAGAACGCAGTGAGCGTCTGCAGGAAACAGCTGGTGTTGAACTTTATCTTACAACGCCGTCCACCCTCTTTTCAACACGCTTCTGAACTGATAAGAGAGTTTCACTTTGATAATTGAAACATAATAACTTACTGGTCATAATTACACTTTATAGATACCTATATAATGTGTTTAATACAGGGTGATTCAAAAGACCTGTTCTAGCTACAGCATAGTCTATATATTCATTTGTAAATTGTGTCCATCTCCTTTCTGCTATGTTGGACGTACCATTAGGACTTTGCATGAAAGAGTAACCGAACATAGAGCTAACTATTATAAATTATTGAAAGACCCTTCCTTAAAACTTAGTGATGATTTTTATCTGATGATAGTGACACTTATAGTTTAGCAGCTCGCCTTATAGACTCACATAACCTTTCTAATAGGCCTGATTTTGATGCTTTTTATAATGTTTTTATCCTAATTTTTATCCCTATATAAAGAATTCTAGTAATTTAGAAGTTAACGAACACCTACTTATACAAAAACTCAGAACTTTGAAACCTTATTGTATTAATTCATGTGATCCTTTTGGTATGCCACTTTTATTTGAAAATAAAACCTTTGATAATGGTCCTTAAATTATTCCACCCTTAATGCAGGGACTCGTATTTTTTCTACTAGTTGGGGCCCCACAACATACCCGAGTGCTTCCCATTCTATTTTTGAGAGTTTGACTTCTTTTTACCTAACATCCTTTAGTTTTAATTATTATTTTCTGATATAATTGGAGTATTAACCCTTATCTTTATTAGGTATTGAAGATGTCCGAAAATGTTTTACCAATGATGTTATAAAGATTTTTTTGGAATTTTTTAACTCATTCGTTGTCTGACTGTGGGAACTATTGATTCTTGTGTTTCAAAAGTCTGGCGAGGATGTTCTTTTTGGATCCATTTGTCTAAACTTTATTCTGTAAAAAGTTATTGGTAGTTCTAAGGTTTAATGGTGACTTCTCAAGTTTTTACATTACCATGAATACAATAGCAACTGCAATCAGTTCTATACAATAGATTTATAATCTGTTATTTTCTGCTGAAGACTGGAAACTTCAAACTAAAATTAGACGTGGAGGATGACCTTAACTTAGTTGCCATACGCGAATTCTTCTGTAATGTCAATAATGGTCCACTGGAAGCCTTTGCTGCCACCTACTAGCTGAACTATTTTGTCAACCCGCAAACCTGGATAGAGTTGGCCGATATCAAAGCTTCATAAAAATTGGAGGTGGAATGTTATAAAATTATATTACCCTGATTTTCCTGTGCAGCACTCATGTCTCATAATAGCCAAAGTAATAGCCAAGGTAATAGCCAAGGTCTCCTCTGATCCCCAACACCCATTAATTTTACTGTTTAACACAATTACGTTACTACTATATAGTCCACATGAAGCAGGTATGTCTTTGATCTTTCAGTCGTCTCCCAATTTGATCTCCGATCTGTCATAAGAATGTTTAAACTGAAATCGATAGTGACAATCAATAGCGGATATAAGTGTGAGTACTGATATATCGTGGATGAGATTCTGGAGTTCGTTACAATTTAGGTGAGATTTTGCAGTATTACAAACAAACTTTTGTTTTATGTCCACATGACATAAAAACATTGTTTCATAGACAAAATGTTAATTCTCTTTAACATGCGTAACATGTGTACATTATATAACATGTTACATGTATAACATTTATAAAATGTACTTAAATTTGGAATTGCCATCCTGGTATACTCCCCAAGCGGTAATCTGGGGGGGGGGGGGGGGGGGGGGGGCCAAGTGGATATTTGTAGATATTTGTAGAATGTCATCCACTTTTTTCGTGAATTATCCATTGACAATAATCTACAAATATCTACATTTATCTACAAAAAATGTATAGAAATTTGTGTGATTTCTTATCCATTACATGTTTTATCTATTGGATTCCAGAAAGCTTCCAGTAATCATACATGTCATTAAATACCTGAATTAGGTTCCATATTTGATGTAACCACTCATCTATAATTTCATCAAGGACAACCCCTATATAATGCTTGCCTATACTTCTCTCAGTGCTTTGAATCTGACTGACCGTCAAGATCCTTCACTTGTTCTGGATCTGTCCTGCTTATACTAGTATTTTTTGAGAGAAGGATATTCAGCCACAGGACTTTTTCTGAAGAGTATCCATTTTCTAGCTGAGGCTTTCTTAGACAAGGATTTTAGTCCAGAGCAGAGAGTAGAAAAGGCTTGGTACTGCAAGTCTTTTTTGTTCTCTGGAAATCTAATATAACTGATAGTTGTCAGTTTATAACTTGGCAGACGTTTAAAGATCTGAAATGTACTTGCGATGGACTCATTCTCTATCTCCTTTTTCTGCAAAAGTAACAACATACCTACTAGGATCTGATGCTAATGAACAACTCTTTGCTTGGATTCGAACTGGTATCTTTGCTGGTCGCCGCACAAATCTCGATGCCATAACTTTAGCATACGGCTGCGAGAAAAGAAATCTTCGCTCAGAGCTCGCTCTTGCAGATGACATGACAGCCTATGCCCATTCCCGTGGACGCAGTATTTTCAGGGAAGAAGTTCCACTACCACACGAGACATGGAAGAATGATACGAAGGAGGTCCACGATTTGAGTTCAAGTGACATCAAAATAGATAGCTTGAAGAAAGCCATGGAACGAGGTACCAAGGCTGTCGTGGACGATGGTAAGAAGTTCAAGTTACCTTTCCTGCAAATATTTGAAGATGAAAACATCATCCGATTGAATGAGAGGAGGATATAAATGACCCTGCAGAGTTGACTGAGTGTGAGAATGATGAAGTGGACTGTCCCACTTGCACTGATGATACTTATAATATGTTAGAATCGGAGGAAGCAGATTCGGAGGCAGCAACTGAGGTCAGCACAACCCTCTTCGGAACGATCGACATAAGATCGGCAGAAACTCTGTTGCTGAACGGGGGAAAAACTAATTTCGGGGATTTTAGCATCAGCATTCGATCAAGAAAGCGGAGCTGAGAGAGTTCAAATGTTCATGATTTGTTCGGAGCGAACAAAAACTGTTACAGAAATAACATTTAGATGGTTCATCCTCCTTCTCATCCTTCTCAGTGTTCCTACTCATCCTCTTCCTCATCCTGACATCCTCCTCCTTATCATCCTCCTCAGACCTCCTCTTCTTCAGGAGGGGGGGGGGGGGATTTTAGCATCAGCTTTCGATCAAGAAAGCGAAGCTGAGGGAGTTCAAATGTCATGATTTCCAAGGGTCGGGTTAAGTTTGTTTCGCAAAACTATACTCCAGCAAAGTTTGCATGTCCTGCAGGACGGCTCAAGATAAATTCATACTAATTTCACAAAGCAATGATCTCTTGCCCATGAGGTGATTACGAAATAGTCAACCACACTGCTCCTTCTCCTCTTTGGTCCTCTTCCTCCTCCCAAGTCTTCCACCTCCTTATCCTCCTCCTCCTCCTCCTCCTCCTCCTCCTCCTCCTCCTCCTCCTCCTCCTCCTCCTCAGTCCTCCTACACCTCCTCCTCCTCCTCAGTCCTTCTCCTCCTCAGTCCCTCTCCTCCTCAGTCCTTCTCCTTCTCAGTCCTCCTCAACCTCCTCCTCCTCCTCTTCAATCATCCTCCTCCGCAGTCCGGAGTGAACAAAAACTGTTACGGAAATGACATTTAGATGGTTCATCCTCCTTCTCATCCTTCTCAGTGTTCCTACTCATCCTCTTCCTCATCCTGACATCCTCCTCCTTATCATCCTCCTCAGACCTCCTCTTCCTCAGTCCTCCTCTTCCTCCGTCCTCCTCACCCTCTTCCACCTTATCCTCAGTCCTCCTCTTCCTCAGTCCTCTTCCTCAGTCATCCTTCCCTCCTCAGTCCTCCTCAGTCATCGCATGTACATTGTACAGTTCCTTCTCAGTCCTCCGTCTCCCCATCCGCATCCTCCTCCTCAGAAAGCGGACATTTTTACAGGCCTCCTCCTCCTAAGTCTTCCTCCTCAGTCCCCCTCCTCCTAACTCTTCCTCTTCAGTCTCCCTCCTCCTAACTCTTCCTCCTCAGTCCTCCTCCTAACTCTTCCTCCTCAGTCCTTCTCTTCACAGTCCTCCTCAACCTCCTTCCCTCCTCCTCAGTCCTCCTCAAACTCCTCCTCAGTCCTCCTCAGTCATCGCATGTACAGTTCCTTCTCAGTCCTCCGTCTCCCCATCCGCATCCTCTTCCTCAGAAAGCGGACAAAAACGGACATAAACGGATACAAACGGACAAAAACTCTCACGGAAATAACATTTAGATGCTTCCTCCTCCTCCTTCTCCACTCCTCCTCCTTCCCCCATCATCCTCCTCAGTCCTCCACCTCCTCCTAAGTCCTCCTCCTCAGTCCCCTCCTCAGTCCTCCTTCTTCCCAGTCATTCTCCTTCTCCTCAGTCCTCCTCCTCCTCAGTCCTCTCCTTCTCAGTCCTACTGATCATCCTGAGTATTTTTCCTCCTCCTCCTCCTCAGTCCTTCTCCTCCTCAGTCCCTCTCCTCCTCAGTCCTTCTCCTTCTCAGTCCTCCTCAACCTCCTCCTCCTCCTCTTCAATCATCCTCCTCCGCAGTCCGGAGTGAACAAAAACTGTTACGGAAATGACATTTAGATGGTTCATCCTCCTTCTCATCCTTCTCAGTGTTCCTACTCATCCTCTTCCTCATCCTGACATCCTCCTCCTTATCATCCTCCTCAGACCTCCTCTTCCTCAGTCCTCCTCTTCCTCCGTCCTCCTCACCCTCTTCCACCTTATCCTCAGTCCTCCTCTTCCTCAGTCCTCTTCCTCAGTCATCCTTCCCTCCTCAGTCCTCCTCAGTCATCGCATGTACATTGTACAGTTCCTTCTCAGTCCTCCGTCTCCCCATCCGCATCCTCCTCCTCAGAAAGCGGACATTTTTACAGGCCTCCTCCTCCTAAGTCTTCCTCCTCAGTCCCCCTCCTCCTAACTCTTCCTCTTCAGTCTCCCTCCTCCTAACTCTTCCTCCTCAGTCCTCCTCCTAACTCTTCCTCCTCAGTCCTTCTCTTCACAGTCCTCCTCAACCTCCTTCCCTCCTCCTCAGTCCTCCTCAAACTCCTCCTCCTCAGTCCTCCTCAGTCATCGCATGTACAGTTCCTTCTCAGTCCTCCGTCTCCCCATCCGCATCCTCTTCCTCAGAAAGCGGACAAAAACGGACATAAACGGATACAAACGGACAAAAACTCTCACGGAAATAACATTTAGATGCTTCCTCCTCCTCCTTCTCCACTCCTCCTCCTTCCCCCATCATCCTCCTCAGTCCTCCACCTCCTCCTAAGTCCTCCTCCTCAGTCCCCTCCTCAGTCCTCCTTCTTCCCAGTCATTCTCCTTCTCCTCAGTCCTCCTCCTCCTCAGTCCTCTCCTTCTCAGTCCTACTGATCATCCTGAGTATTTTTCCTCCTCCTCTTCCTCAGTCCTCCTCAACCTCCTCCCCCTCCACCTCACCTTCAGTCCTCTTCTTCCTCAGTCCTCCTCCTCAGTTATCCTTTTCCTCCTCAGTTCTCCTCAGTCCTCGCTTGTACAGTTTCTTCTCAGTCCTCCGTCTCCCCATCCGCAAGCGGACAAAAATGGACAAAAACGGACAAAAACTGTTACGGAAATAAAATTTAGATGCTTCCTTCTCCCCTACTCTTCCTTCTCTTCCTCCTTCCCCTCATCCTCCTCCTCAGTCCTCCTTCTCCTAAGTCCTTCTCCTCAGTCCCCCTCCTGATCCTCCTAACTCTTCCTCCTCAGTCCTCCTCTTCCTAACTTCCTCCTCAGTCCACCTCCTCCTTAATCTTCCTCCTCAGTCCCCCTCCTCCTAACACTTCCTCCTCAGTCCCCCTCCTTCTGATTCTTCCTCCTCAGTCCCCCTCCTAACTCTTCCTCCCCAGTCATTCTCCTCCTCTTTTCCTCCTCAGTTCTCTCCTTTTCAGTCCTACTGATCCTCTTGAGTGTTTTTCCTCCTCAGTCCTCTTCCGTCCTCCTCTTCCTCAGTCCTCCTCAACCTCCTCCACCTCTTTCTCAGTCCTCTTTTTCCTCAGTCCTCCTCCTCCTCAGTCATCCTCTTCCTCCTCAGTCCTTATATGTACGACACATTCTCATTTCTCATTTCTGAAAACAGTATTCCTAATTTTTTTCCTAATTACATGATGGCGTTTATTCAAAGGGCATATACTAGGATAGACCTCTGCCTCGGTCAAAAAAGCACCCCACGGCTTCCCTCGGCCTCGGTCTTAACTAAGATGGCACTCCTCGGCCTCGGCTATTAAGCTAAAAAAGTACCCCTCGGCCTCGCCCTAAGCCGATCAGTGATCCTCATCCTCCTCAATATTCCTCCTTAGTCCTCCTCCTCCTCCCCAGTCCTCATCCTCCTCCTCCTCTTCCTTCTCAGTCCTCATCCTCTTCCTCCTTCTCCTCAGTCCTCCTCCTCAGTTCTCCTCTTCCTTCTCCTCAGTCCCCTCCTTCTCCACAGTCCTCCTAGCCTCCTCTTCCACCTCCTCCTCCTCATTCCACCTTGTGACAATTTTATTTTGCCATATTTAACAGTACCTCTTTTATCTCTCCCTAGTCAGGCGGATGGCATGGTTGGAAGTTCAGACTGACAGCACCCCGGTAGAGATCCCCCCCCCCCCCCCCCCCCCCATAATATGCAACATTAAATTAGATAGTTCCACCCTTTTAGATCATTGCTTTTCTGTATATGATAGTGTTTATGGACCATAATCTCCATGTAAATACACTCAAATAAACATAGAAGAACTGTGCAAGTAGTCAGATAATATCATTAAATCACTTAGCATATATAAAACGTGATGAAATTGAAGTTAATGCCCAGAAATTCTACTGAATTTTTGGAGATTAATGTAGATATTTGTAGAATGTCATCCACTTTTTTCGTGGATTATCCATTCTACATTAATCTACAAATATCTACAAATATCCACTTGGCCCCCCCCCCCCCCCCCCCCTAATCTTGTGAAGTCCTTGTAGAGGTACGATTAACTCGTACATCCCGGTCTTTTGTTCAACAATAGGCTTAGGGGCTGAATTATAACTATAAGTGAACGTTATATGGAAAGTTGGTGAGTTGGTCACTGGATGCCTTAACTGTGTATTTTGTCGATCGTATTCTGTTTGGAATGGTTTATTTGTTACGTAAGCAATTTTTACGCACTTTTCCAGAATGAGCAGCTCTTGAATTGTTTCTCCTCTTTCTGGTGAGTGCTGATCCTTTTTCAAATCGGAATACGTATAATAATGAATACTAAATATGTTACTAACAGCTATTATTGTGAGTAGCTAATTAATCTTTAGCCATCATGGATTGGTGTGCAATGTGCATTCATTACGTGTGATTTATTATTTCTGATTCTAGTTTAACTAACTTGACCATTATTAAATGAGTGCAGTTAACACGATTCAAGATGAGATTACATTTACTGATTGGTTGACGAAATCACTGATTAAGTGCCGAGATCACGTATCTGCAATATCTTAAAAGGGTCATAACTCGGTTAAAATGTGAACAACCAAATTGAAATTTTTGGAAAGCACTTCAATTACTAAACCAAATGTGTGTAGAAACTTTGAAGTTCCTAGCTAAAAGCGTTCTCAATTTATGGTGACAATAGTGAAAAAGAGGGATTGGCGAGCCACACCTACTGTAATTAATTAAATTTGATGAAACTTTCAGGAAATCTAAGTTTGGCCCATATCTATAATTTCTGAAATTTCTGTGCAATTCTAAGATGAATTACATGAGTTATTGAAGGGTTGCGTGTGGGCAGTTACTTAAACACTAAATTCTGCAAATATTCAATGTCAAACTAGAGTATGCTACGTGGACTATAATTCGGCACGTATGGTAGTTACTAGTTCGGCAGGGGTGAAATAGAGTATGTGAATCGTTTCTTTTACTATCATTGGTGGGAATAAAATGTTTGCTTACCACCCAAGATAAGTCCGATAAATCCCAGACCAAGAACAACGTGGAGGTTTCTCATCTTAATAATTTATTACAAAATCTTGTAAAGTGGGGAAACAAAATACAATAAGTTCACAGTTAATCAGTGCCTATGTGTAATATACTGAATCTGATTGACAATTGTCCCTCATCAAAGTTAGTCAATCTATTCCTTATTAAAGTTTGTTAGCCCCCATTCCGATTTCCGATACATTCCTTCTTGTGAGGCACAAATGCTCGAATTTACCAGCCTGATACAACTATTTGACCACACAGATCATTGTTTCATTCCATCAATACACTCCGAAATATTTATACAACTAGTTAGAGAAGATCTTTGTCAAAAATTGAATGTTCAAATTTTCTTTTCTTTTAGGCGATTAGCTTCATATTATTATTATTCTATAGCTGATCAGAACATTTCTTCTCGATCTAAAGTGTAAATGGTACTGGTTATGCCCAGTACTGAAAACGTTACCTCAGTACTGGTGCGAAGAAGGAAATGTAAAATTAATAATTATAGATTAATAAATAATATGTCTTCAGGTCCTGCCAGAGAAAACACCGTTCTCAAGAACATGACTGAGGCGGAAAAGGAAGTTGAAGCGAACAAGCTTATCAACCTCATCGACGACATGCACAGAAAAGGTAAGTTTTAATTGTCACTTTAAAACATTTTAAACATGTACTTTTCTCATTGCAGTCTCACACTCTGTATTACTATTATGCAAGAATACACAGTTAAAATTTCGAATCAAACTTTCCTAATCCTAATAAAGAACTCTAACGAACTTTCCTGCAGGAGTGATCAAACCAGGATCTGTCGGCGAAGACGGGAAAATAAAGGAAATGGACATTGCTGAACAGATAGCAAAGGTTCAACTCCCTGACATTAAGGGAAGCTCTGACGACGAGGACGATGAGGAGGAGGAAAATCTGAAATTAGACAGCAATCACTTTTACCCGAGGAAGAAAGCGACGTGATTTTTAACCACAGACGTGTTTAACTAGGTGATTTCTTGTTTTATTTCGCTGTATATTTCCTGATAGCCACGTGAGTGCCTAAAGAACCTTGCGAAATTCATCGCATGTTTTAGTGAAAAATCGAGTAAATTGATATCTGAATCAGACATATGATTATTCATTGGCGAATAAAATGTTCCCAAAAATAATAATTATATGACGTAATTTTAAAATTGTCAAATTAGATGACACCACCGGAAATAAGAGGAAATTTTGATGTACCTAAAGTCGTGCAGCTAGCTCAGACTTAAACTGCCTAGATTCAGGGCATTTTTGTTGATAAATCTCGCAAGGATTGCTACAAATTATATATGTATATATATTAGATAACAATATGTTCATGGGACTATGTTTGAAATATTTTGAATGCTGGTTAAAAATTAGATTAACTTAAAATTGTGAACCTCCCGGAGTTTATTTGTTGTTGTTTACGTTTATTTGTGCATATATTATTTTTGTTATATCATTAGCACTTTATCACACCATAACTGAGGATTTGATATTCTTTTAACTTTGTCTGGTTCTGTCAGTAAGAATCATTTCTTATATATAAGGACTGATGTTTAATCTTAGATACGTAAACGCTGGTGGAATCCTATTGCAATGCTAGTATATACAATGTAGTAACATTTTTGAAAGAAGATTTTTATTGTTAATGCACTGCGTGTTAGGAAACCACAGAAATTTCAGTTTGTTACAATCCGGTTTTTAGCAGTTTTTTCGGTTCGGGTACGGCAAGCATTTTTCCCAACCAGTGCAGAAACATTACTAAGAAATAATAGTAAGAATATTGCCCAAATTTCTCCTTTCCGGCAACCCTATTTTGAGCGTGGAGTTTGTTCCCACTGTTATTTTAACACATTCTAAATAATTCCCAAACTGTGTAATTTAATGCCTTCCAAGAAGTTCGGTTGGGGTTGGAAAAACGTTCGATTGTTTCCTAACTCGCGTATAGTTTGATGTATAATAGCAAGATCGTGATATAACACAGCTTTGGTGTGGTATTATATGTGACTATCTGTAATATATATGAATATCTGATCGCGAATCTGAATCATTTGATTAGAAGCAACGATCTTTTGCTTTTTTGACTTTAGTTGTCTAAAGATATTTCTTTTTCATCTTATTTATCTTATGATTATTATTTTGGATTAATCTGGAATTATAGTTTATTATTGAGGATGTAGTACGAGATTAACATTTAAAAATAAATTTGAATCATCGCCAATTATTCTGAATTCACGACCGAATATTATTTCACAAAATCTACACATACGACGTTTCCCCTGCCACCGTTTATCCACTACATACGAAGTTTAATATTTGAATTAACTGAATAATTAATTGGTAGTTCTTGTGCTATACAGCTATAAATTAACTTCCAAAATTTGATTTATGAATATTGAAGTCTATCTAAAACAAAAAGTTGTAATTGATGAACAGAAAATCGTCTCATTGTATTATATATTAAAGTCACTATTGTGACGGTACATTAGAACTAGACAGAAACAAAGTGTGAAGGGCATGAACGGAACCCCTCGGTTTCAGTTCCTTGTTTAACACTGCCGTACAGCAAGGACATCCACCGGGTTCTCCAAGGATGGGCACATAGCTCACTCCACACTATGCTCTCATGTCAAATGTTGCTTATATACCAAGGATATACAGGAAATATTTCCTTGTAAGTTTAGAGGGCGATCTGTGAACAACTAAAGGAACTAGAATTCCTATACTTTCCCAACGAGCTACACCAAGCATAGTTTTAGATGAGAACAGCCGCGATAAATCAGCAGGCTATTTTTTTAAATAGTACTCTTGATTATATATGAGACAGACAAAGGGAAAATATGATTTTGCAATGTTCTTCGGGATGTTGATTCCCAGTACCTCAATTTGGTTTCATAACATCATCAATTAACTGACTACTTGGTCTGATCTGGGCAAAACATTCATCAAATCTGTCAAATTTGTGTTCAGAATATTTCATATTTGAAAATGGGACAGAATTTTGAAAATACAACGTTTTGTTTTGTTAAGCTTTCTGTTGTGGGCTTCCTCCGTCTGGAATCAAACTTCCAGCACCTCAATCGTGTCAAATGGCATCTATAGTTATATATAGCATCTAATTGGTTGCGGTTGAAAAAATCAGTAAAAACTGTAAAATTTCGGTCCTGGAAATGTCATCTTCAAAAACTGAAAATGGGACAGAGATTGGGACAATATGATTTTGCAATTTTATTCAGGATTTTGACTCCCAGTAACCCAATTTGGTTTCAAACCATCATTAATTAACTGACTAATTGGTTTCTGGGCAGAAATTTCATCCAATCTGTCAAATTTGTGTTCAGAAAATTTCATATTTGAAAATGGGACAGAATTTAAAAAATACAACTTTTCGTTTTGTTAAGCTTCCTCCGACCGGGCTTCCTCCGACCGGAATCAAACTTCCGGCACCTTAATCGTGTCCTATAGCATCTATAGTTGACTTAATAATTGGTTGCAGGTGAAAAAATCAGTCAGAACTGTAAAATTTCGGTCCTGAAAATGTCATCTTCAAAAACGGAAAATGGGACAGAGATTGGGACAAATACGATATGATTTTGCAATTTTATTCGGGATTTTGACTCCCAGTACCCCAATTTGGTTTCATACCATCATCAATTAACTGACTAATTGTTTTCATACTATAGCAATTAAACTAAAGCGATCGTCAGGAACATGTTTGTTTGTTTATAGAACCCGTCCCAATCTCGTATCGGAAAATGACGAAACTTAATTCTGAGTGTGAATACTGATGGTACATGCAACGGTTGCAAGAGTGTTCATTTGGGAGGGGCACCAAAAGGGGAGGGGGCGCCAGCAGCTAGGGGGGCGCATTTCTAGCTGGGGCGCTAACAGGCAACGTTACGCCACTGGCTGGCAAGCACGACCGTTGCTGTTATACACTTTATAGTGTATACTATTATTAGAAAGACCGTGGTCACAGGGAGGAAGCTAATAGTTTTCTTTGGTAGTCAGTTTTTATCGCATCAAAAAATATCCGTCACAACCGAAGATACAGTCGATTAAAATGTAGATTGCACTGAACACAACGTAATTACCACAAAATCGATCAAAATCAAAAATGTCGCTCACAAATCTCGCTCGCGATTTTCTCAGATCCTCGTGACAAATCGCTATTTTTTCAGTTCTCCGTGACAAATTGCGCATTTCAATCCAAGGGCCAAATATTACGTTCTTTATAATAAGTATATGGATGTAGGTACGGACTTGAGAAGACCAAAAAAATTTTCGGCTCACAATGGTCAGGGTAGCATGAACCATGAACAAAAGTAGTTTCAATAAAAACTTTGGTCAGGGTCCCTAAATTTCGCGACAATTGACCCCAGTGTAATTACATAGGGGGTCAATTTTCGGGGGGTCAATTGTCGGGGGGGGGGGGGGGGGTCAATTTTTGCGGCCGGTACCCATTTGGGCACTGGTTTATCGTTCTCTCCTTCGTTGCAACGACATCAAATTTAAGGCCTTGAGTCTCTGCTATTAGTTTAGATGCTGTAGGGCGTAGGCCATCTATTCTCGTTGTAAACGTGCGCTGAACCCCTTCCAGTTGTTGGACGTCCGTATTATTGGAAATATTCCATAAGGGGCAACAGTACTCGAGATGGCTTCTGATGAGAGGTTTCTAAATGGTCAGCATGGTGACTTTGTTTCTTGTTTTAAACGCACTCAGTACCCAAGCAGCAACTTTACGAGCACGTTCGGCTATAAGGGTAAGGTGGGGGCTCAGCTGAAACCATCATTATTCATTACATTCTTTTTCGAGAAAAACCTTAACAGTATAACTTTAACACTAATTAACAGAGACCACATTGTTGAAGTAAGTCTCGGGCATGGCTGGTGGTCAACCCAAAATCCAAATTTCAACAGTTAAGAACCTGAATAATTCGCTAACTTTCGACGCATTAATATTTTGGGAAAGTGCAGTGTGCCGTGCACCTTACAGTTACAACATCGAATATTTTGAAGAAGTCGTTATAATTGTTGACAACATTGCAACATTTGGTGACCTCCTAGCAGTATAGTAGCATATCTGAACACAAATACTTATTCTCTGCTTTTTGCCTTCAGGATAGGTAGGGAAACAATTACTCAGTCGACAAAGTTTACGGAAAATTGTTTTCTTTCTCAGTGACACAGCTTGTTAAAGTCTTGGTGACGGGCATGAATAAAGATCATTATTTTATTTTATGATGCACTCTGAAGTACTTATACGACACACATAGTTTACATTAGATCAGAAGATGTTTGTTGGAATACTAAACTTTGTTTGCTAAATAATACAACTTTATTGAAATACGAGGACAACACAGTAAAAGAGTAAGAAAATATTTTTTAACATTTTGACTTGAATATCTGCGCGGCGGGTCATACAACGTATGACAAAAATATCTTAGAAGATTGCCAGATAATCAAGTCGAAACGTTCCAAGCAAGTTTTTTCAGTAGATGTGTTCTAGTCCGGTCAGTTATGGCAATTTACCTGCATTTCATAGCAGAGGGCTGAAAATTTGTTTGGGGGCTCTCAAAGGTCTTGAGAACCGAAAAAACTCAGATTGGGAAAATCGCCCATTTGGCCACGCCCATTTTTGGTACCAAAATAACTAGGCACAATTTGAGAGAAATATATATAATGTCATTCCTAACATGTTAGGGGTCTAAATCTATGTTTTTTGCACGACGAATCGATTGGTATGGTTCTTAAAACTCTAAAACACTTATTTTTTGAGATTCATTATTACTTCTAACTTCAAGTTCAATCATTTCGCTTCTGTTCAACTGTAGGCGTAATGAGGGACTTCAGTCCAGCAATAAAGTCAAAATCTGTAGATTTAGCAATATGTGGTTTCGCTACTTTTAAGGTAATTGTGTTCAGCAAGCAAGTTTGTAAGTTTTCAGCCCTACTGCCCCAAAGTATTGGCCCCCAGAGCACTGGTAATGCTGGAGCACTGGTAATGAACATGGTAGTGCTGATTTTTTGCTTAACATAGCTCTTATTTAAGTTCCTTTCAGTCTTCCTATCATACTGGCATAAAAACAGATTCACCCAATTTATCTCTAAATATTATCTTTTACCTGGGCCCTACAGGTTATCGAATGTCCACCTACCTCTTGCCCCAATTATTGTCAGCCCCAGGACCTCTGGCACCTGCAACTTTGGACTTGGTGCCATTATATTTAGAGATAAATGAGGTGAATCTGTTTTTATGCCAGTATGATAGGGAAGACTGCTGAAAAAGGAACTTAAACATGAGCTATATTAAGCAAAAAATCAGCATTACCTTGTGCACTACCAGTGCTCCAGTATGACCAGTGCTCTGGGGGCCAATACTTTGGGGCAGTGGGCTGAAAACTTACAAACTTGCTTACTGAACACAATTACCTTAAAATTAGCGAAACCACATATTACTAAATCTACAGATATTGACTTTAATGCTGGACTGAAGTCTCTCATTACGCCTACAGTTGAACTTGAACAGAAACGAAATGATTGAACTTGAAGTAATGATGAATCTCAAAGAGACGGATGGGCACTGGAAAGGCAGATGATATAGAAGTTAGAAACCTGATTGATGATACTAGCAAAGAGCCAATTTAAGCCAAGAGTACAAATGCCCTTGTCTCTGAGGCCCAAAGCCATTGTGATTTGCGGCTCATGATCGATAAGGCCCACTGTCACTCAGACGTGAGGTTCTGGGGCACATCTTCTGAGTCCAAGTAATTATCAATATTTATCTCGGCCACTGCCCAGTTCCTGACATTATAGTGTTTGTGACCCCTATTACCTATGTCAGGTGTTGAAAGATTGTATCAAAACCATACAATAGCATATAAAGCTCTATCGACAGCCATAAACTGCATCTTGAAAATTGCAAAAAAATAAGTGTTTTAGAGCTTTAAAGCACCTTGTTAATCGATTCGTCGTGCAAAAAACATAAATATAGACCCCTAATATGTAAGGAATGACATTATATATTTCTCTCAAATTGTGCCTGGACATTTTGGTACCAAAAATGGGCGTGGCCAAATGGGCGATTTTCCCAGTCTGAATTTTAGGGCTCCAACGTTTTTTCGGTTTTAAAGACATTTGAGAGCCCCCAAAAAATGTTTCAGTCCTCTTCTATGAAATGCAGGTTTTGACCTGATTTTAACCATAACTGACCATAATAAACAACAAATAAATTGTTGAGTATGAAGCCCCGGCTGATAAGAAGAACGCGGTGAGCGTCTGCAGGAAACAGCTGTTGTTTAACTTTATCTTACAACGCCGTCTACCGTCTTCAAACACGCTTCTCGACTGATAAGAGGGTTGCACTTTTATAATTGAAACATAATAAATTATTGGTCATAATTACACTTTATAGAATTATAGATATATAATGAGTTATTTTGTGTTAGAAGCTGGATGAAACTTCAAACTAAAATAACCGTAACTTACCTTAACTTAGTTCGAAGGTATGCCAAGTAAGGTCCACTCGAAGCCTTTGCTGCCGCCCTTTAGCTGAACTGAAATTGTGCACCGATTAGTATTTCAAAACACCAGAACTAAATACGGTTGGGGGAGGCATATTTGTTTTTACAGGTAACAGCCGTTTCTAAACACGTGACAGCCATTCGCCAGTCGGCTATCACGATTCAGAAGTAATGCCAAATGTAGCTCGCCCGCCAATATCAAAGCTTCATAATCATTGGATTTCGTGCGGGACGCTAACCCTCAACTACGTTTGGGCATTATCACTCGCAGCACTCAATAGCCATTAAGCCACGGTATTATGGTATTCATGCATTAAATAATCGATAGAATGATCAGTCCTAGTTTTTTTCAATGCTTAATTGTAAATAGTATCATAGTCATACCAGCGTTAGCTAGGTTTAATTCTCGCACAGGGTATCTTCCAATTTCTGCATCGTTGAGGTAGACTTGATATTCATCAGCTGAGACTTTAATCGTAACTGTGAACTCTTCGCCTGCTTCAAATCTTTTGTTGCTGTAATTCACCCTGAAAATAAAGATATTTTATTATTTTATTCGAAAAGTTGCTACCTACGATATGGCAGTAGTGTTAATAATATTTCATATTATTGATTTACACAAATTTTCAACAGCTGAATGGCAACTTTTCCAATATATTGCACCAAGTAAATAATGATAATATTATTGGCTTATAACTTATACATTATAACAATATATTATAACTTATCGCAATGTCTGCATCATATACCTCTTTTCCGATCCCCAACGTCCAAATTTGCTGTTCAGCACAAGTACGTTAAATCTAAAGTCCACATGAAGCAGGATGGTGTTCCGATCCGGTACCGCGACAATATTCACACTGAAGCCATTAGTGGAAATCAGTAGCGGATAAAAGTGTGACTACATGTATTGATATCGTGAATTAGATTCTGGAGTTCATTACAATTTCGTTTCATACCCGCATGGTATAAAAAGTAAAACATTGATTCATGGACAACATGTTAAAATTCTCTATAACGTGTATAAAATGTATAACACGTATAATATGAGAAAAATATACCTAAATTTTGAAGTACCATCCTGGTATACTCCCCTAGCGGTAATCTGGTTTCCTGGTCGAAGTGACGCCATATCGAAATCGCGAAATTTCCCATTCTCCGCGACAAATTTTATGTATAGTTTAATGTATAGCCTGTTAAATTTCGCGGTATCGCGAAATTTGGCCAAAATAATCGCGAAATCCTTTTGTCCCTGATCCCGCCCGATCTTGGGGCAATTTTAAGAACAAATCTATCTGAAGTATAAGGAAAAGTTAAATGGACAGTTACTAGAGTAGTATACATAATGGTACTTATACCCCACCTATAAAATGGCGCACCTGATTTTGTGTATAATTACTTATGTTAACCCTAATTAGTGGTGATTTTTGCTAATGCTAATTGTTAATTGTATCCAATAACCCTAATTGAGTGTGTTTACTACTCATTAACATCTTACTATATATCCAGGAGATTTCACTGGAGGAACTGTCCTTGAGGTCGATTCCTGTTCGCAGAGTGAACTTTCTGGATGAAGTCTCGTATGTGATACCTCCACAGTCTAGTAGGAGAAGGTGGCATTTAAATTTTAAGGTGAATTGATATTTTACCAGAGATTCTGTGACTGTATATCTTTAGTGTATCAAATTTCAAGATAACCAATTAACTGCAAGTTTGAACTGACCGGATCGTTTGAGACATTCGCTCTGAGCCTTCAGAAGACTGTCGTATTTGGCGGTTCCTGCGCTGTAGCCGCTCAGATATTTACCAGCGTTCTTGCTCCAATAGTCTGGGACGAAACGAAATCTCGTTAGCTTTTCGTGTTAAAAGCGATTTCTCAACAGTTATCACCTCTCTAGATGATTCTTAAAACATTTGGACTTCATTGCATTTTTGAAATAAATGTAATGAGGGCGTTTTCGGCCACACTCTTTTTCATGGATTCGCGGTCACTCAAATTTTTGTATTTCAGCCCAGGAAGGTCTTAAAGACTATTCCGATACACCAAAATGTGTCTAATAGCCACATTTACATACAATTTATGAAGCAATATATACCTTAAAATACTTCGTTTCGGAAATATGGCCGATAAAGGGTTTTTGGCTTGACGCAGTTCATAATTTCCGTGATTTTTGGCATTTCCGCCTAGGAAGGTCGTAGAGACTATTCTGAGACACTGAAGTGTACATAATGGCCACATTTATATACAACGTATGAAGCAACATATACCATAAAAGGCTTATTTTCGGAAATGTGGCTGAAAAACAGATTTTTGTCTAGCGAACAATGAAAGTATTCACAAATGGGCTATTGGACTGTTAACTAGAAAGGTCTTAAAGACTCATGAGCATCATAGCATTTGTCACAAGATGTAAGATGACTCACTTTGTGTCCAGAAACACCTACAAAAATTGGAGAATGATCTACTTTATTGGGCATCTCTCTTAATGGGCCAGACAGCAGCATACTTGTGTCTTACGAAAGGGCAATTTTTCAAATTTACGGTTACTTTAGTAAAGGTCAAAGTAAAGGTCAAAGGGTCAGTTGCTAACAGCAAATTGTTTGCCCTTGCCGACTCATGCACATCATATACTCAAAAACGTTCACTTTAGGAGTGATTAGTAAATAAGTTTAACTTCTGCATGATTTGTGAAAACTCCAACAATTTTTCATTGGCACCAATTTAGCCAAAATGTAATGACAAAAATTCAACTTTTAATTTATTCATTCCATAAAACCATAATATGTACAAAGACTATAAGAATACCGGACCTAAAATAATTCGGCACTGGATCCGGGCCAGATTGTTGCTTGACCGCTGACCAGTACCCCACTTTATATTTATAATTGACTTCACTGCCTCGACCAATATTGGTCTGTAATCGCTGGATTGAGATCTGTTGGCGGCAGTTTAATTTAGCTCATTTACCATAATAGTAATACCGCAGTGGTTTGATTCGCATAGATTTTCCCATCGTATGATAATGTGTGTCATTCCCTCGTTTTTTAATCAAGTGGTTACTAGCTAGCTCTTTTGTTATTACAGCTGCCTCGAGATCTTATCTAGGGCACTAATACACTAGTACTAGAACATTAGAACTTTAATTCTAGAACTTCAGATTAAGATTACTTGGCTGAATGGCAGGGTTCGAGATTCGACTCTAAAACGCTCAGTTTAGGAGTAATTAGTAGATAACTACTGCATGATATGCGAAAACTCCAACTAGACAAGGATCATGCTTAATCAAAGTGCTTCTCGACTTGAACTCAAGTCTTGTAACCTACTGGAGTTTGGGCCACTGAATCGAATACGACCTGACATTAATTTTAGGATGTCGGGAAATGCATTAAAATTTATATTCTTTGGTTTTTCAATTGTGCTACGAATCCGAGTTTGAGTTGATAACACCGAATTTCCTGTTTGACTCTCAAAGAGAGGAACCAAGGCTTAGGTTCCTCATTTTGGCTCTGAGATCCAACTTTAAGATCGGACTTCGGAGATCCTTGCGTCGGATATCATGTAAGTGTAACATCAGTACAGGAGATCAGACTTTTTCGCTTGATATTGGACCTATAAATCTAATTATATATTCGAAACAGCACGGGATGTAACCAAGGTTAATTTAGATAAGAAATACCAGCTTTTAGGGTTACAAGACCCCATGAAAGGCAGGCAGAGCATCCTAAATCCTCATGCTATCCTCACGTTGACCATTTAGGTCCATACCCCAGCCTCTCATTAAAAACAGCTATTAGGCCCGATATCCGTCCCTTGTCCCGTAGTGCCCCGTAAGTAAGAGATCGTTTAGATTTTGGTCATTTATACCCCCTCCCCGCTCTAAATCCACTTTACCCAAAGCTGGAAAAATTTCACATGTGAAACCTAAATAGCTAAATTAGCATCTGATCGAGACCTATTATATAAACCCCGTGATCCTACAATAAGCTTATAACTTATAAGGCATTGCATGCCGAAATTAAGATTCATTTCAACTGGTGATATGAACCTGGTAGTGGTATGTTACCTGAATGCCCTCAGTCAAATCTCGAACCCTGCTAATGCTAGGGAATTTTTGTCAACACATTTAATTTAAATTGGTGCCAAGGAAAAATTGTTGGAGTTGTCACAAATCATGTTGATGTAGTAGTCATTTACTAATGACTCCTAAAGTGAGCGTTTTTGAGTATATGATGTGCATGAGTCGGCAATTGCGAAAGTTTTGCTGTTAGCAGCCGATCCTTTGACCTTAAGAAACCGTAATTTAAAAAAATTGAGAGGTGATAACCGTTGAGAAATTGCTTTTAACACGAAAAGCTAACGAGATACCCTTTTAGAACGGTTGGGATCCGACTACAAGTCCCTGGAAAAAAATATTTCCATTACCTCGGGCATTATAGCAGTATAACCTTAAAATGGTGTCAAGACTCAAGAGACTAAAATAATCATTACCTATTTAATTCGCGTTTTTGACACCACTTGGGGGTCCAAATTTTGGGCTCTAAAACTCCTATTTCTTGGCCAATTTTTATTGTTTCATGCTGATTTGGAGGCCATTAAAGCATTTGACCCGGTGAAAAAAGTTTCAGTTGTATATCTTTTACGGTTTTTGCGGAAAGTCCCGTTAAAGTTGATGCCTTGGTGTCAGTAAAATGGTACGGATCCATCCATCAATCATATCCATCCATCCATATATATATATATATATCGTCTCGCTTTATATATAGTAAGATGTGTGGGGAAAATACTATCACACAGGGGCTAACCCTAGATAACATTTACGTAGTGTGTACTGTATCGGTAACTTGAGGCACTTAATTACGTACCTAGGTTCCATGAGAAACTACGTAATTAAGTGGAACTTTCTCATACTGAGTATCCATCCGGATGCAATCATGACTCGGGTCAGTTTTCAACTTTACCCTGATCCAGAAGATCGAACTTTACTACTAAGGTTTAACAGTTGCACCTCTTATACTTTCCTCGGAGTGCCAGTACTAGGCCCAGGTTGTTCTATTAACTTTTCTCTTAGTTCACGGTCTGACAACTTAGAAATATCCCCAGAGGTCAACATCAGTCCTTATTATAAGGCTAAAAGGTAATAAGAAAATTACCACACAGAAAAAACTCTCTTTGGTTTGGAGTATTTGTCATCTCGAGATCTCTTTTGACAGTATCCCGACATATCAATATGTGTGTCACAACATATCACCAACAGGATACTCCCGTGTTACAAATAACGACTTTTCCATTAGTAAGCATATAAGGGTTGTAATTAGATGTGCTCAATGCTGCCCCAGCACTTCCTCCTTTATATAATATGAACAGATGTGCCTGCTTTTTCTGTAGCCTACATTTAAGTGTCCGTAGATTCGAAAGTAGAAAAGATACAGTCATCTCGAACCAAAGGTTTTAGAGATAATTGTTTATGCTTTAGTTTACATTATGTCGAAAAATAATTTAACGTCATCATCATCATTTCATCAGATTAAATGTTTTTAAAACTTGGTTTTTTGACAAAATAACAACTTTTCAAATCGATTTTACACCATTATAAGGAGTAATTTTATTCAAAATCTGAGGACATTTTCAACTTAGATAATTGTTCAAGCATTCTGAAAATCTACTTGAAAGTTTTCCTACCTTGCTCCTTCATAAAGATATTCGCTATTCATTGAAGTTAGTGCTTTTTTTAAAACAATTGTAATAGATTAAGAAGAACTACCCGAATTATTCGTAAGCCGTGAATGAATGGGAAAAGCGAGCGACCGATTTCATTCTCGAATTCATTTTGCATTTGAGAACGGTCAATCAAATTAATATCATATCCTTTTGTTTGGGAAAGAGAGACACTGGCAGCGTTCCACTCTACCCATGATTATGGGTTTTGGACTTTGGTCAAATACAGATATACATAAATATATATATTGTAAATGTAATAAGTTTCGATTAATTACATCAATCACATGCTGTAAAAATCTCTTTGGGTTGTGTTGGGTCGATACCTAGTATTTCGGGATAAGGGTGGTAGTTATAACTATAGCGACTTAGCTGAAATTTATTGAATCTTTATTGCCGAGTACAGCTGCCTTCGGGTAGGTCTTCTTAATCTATTACAATTGTAAATGAATGGGAAAAGCGAGCGACCGATTTCAATTTCGGTATCATTTTGCATTTGACTATTTGAGAACTGCAGTCAATCAAATTGATATCATATCCTTTTGTTTGGGAAAGAGAGACACTGGCAGCGGTCCACTCTACCCATGATTATGGGTTTTGGTCAAATATTATCTCTTTTTGATTATAACGTCAGGGTACTTTTTAAAGTCGAAATTCACAACTTTATTAATAAGACAAAGGAGGTAATTTCAACGCGATTTTGAAATTTTACCTTTGAAAACATTTCCTTGTGTTTAGGTAAACATATCGGTCGATCACTGACTGAATATGCCACATTATACTCATTCAAGTTGGAATTAAATTCATATATAATGAAATTGAACTGTCGTGGCAAAGCAGAATTTGTTCGAAATCACGAAAGAGCAAAATTATCACCTTTCGCACGTGCAAACTTTGAGCGGACGTTGCGTGCGCATCCAATGTTGTTGAATGACCTTAAATTTTTGCATATTCGTAATTTATGTATAGATTGATAAGCATGCAAAGTTTCAAAGTATTTTAAGAAGAACTGTAATCACAACGGCACTCCAAAGTTGACAGAAAATGGTGAAAACAGCAATTTTTAGTGATTTTAGCAATTTTCTATAAATTTGGGCGTGTCCCCACGTGTGCAAATTTTCGATTTTCAACTTTAAAACTAGCCTTATGCACAATTTATACCTATAGGAAGCAGAACTGAGCTCCACAACCCAAGGCATGGCCCAACACCAGAGAATACTAAATCGCAAAATATGGATATGAATTAGTAACAGATAATCTTGTAACGCATTGAGGCACTGAGGCCCTTGAGGCACCACTTTGAGGCCCTTGAGGCACTACTTTGAGGCACCACTTTGAGGCCTACGGAAAACCATGCACGATAAAAACTCTAGAGCTTAAAAAGGAAAAAGGTGTTTTGTAATTTACCCAGGCCACAATTAGTTAGAGAACTCGATTCCCATCCACTCCTTGCTGTTATGTGCGTAGTGGCCACCAGATAGCACTCTCGGACAGCCCAATCCACGGGACTCAGGACTACTCCTTTACATCGGGGAGTCTCATCACACCATTCCTGACAATTCCCTAAACTCAACAGTCTCTGGTCTAATCTCTCGGAGTCCGTAAACATACCAGTATCATATTTGTAGTCTGTATAACAGCGGCCTGAAATAGAATATAGATAAGTTTGCGTACCGTGTCTATATCTATTATATTTATCGCAGTTTATAATTTAAAACTCAAGCAAGGAAACGTAAAAGAAAAAGTCAAAGAATCAGAATAGCATTAGTCCGATTTAGGGTTGCCATTATCGGTACAACATTTTTTATCGCGATCATATAATAATAATAATAATAGGATTATGGCCACATGGCCATCTCGACAAAACTTGAAACCCAACTGCACTCTACGCTATTGCAGTTCGCACAATATTATCAAAAAGAAAAATGTTCCTATCCGGAACATTTAATGATTAATTATTTTTAGGACGTTAACATGTAGTTCTGAATTTAACAATCAAGAAACATTGATTCCTCGGTATTTAGCAATCAATGGGTTATTAGACATGAAATGTGCATATGAATCATGCTCACATGTATTTATTTTTGACATCAAGGTTTCGCTGAGATCCCAGAAGTGACCCTTTGACGATGCTCCACTCGCTATCAGTTCATTTTTATAACATTGAAGTCGAGCTTTGAATGCGTCTACTGAACTGGCTTCTTTAACCGAACTTGGTACTTTGTTCCAGTAATTGGCAACACGGTTACTGAGGACCTGATTTCCTCTTTTATCTTTTAGGATCTTGGTACCGCTACGTGATATCCTGAAAAGATCTTGTCCATAGTCCACTTTACCCGTCGTTATTTTAAAGGTTTCAATAAGATCACCCCTCAGGGTCATAATCAATAATTTTTCAAAATTATCGCGATAATATCGGTTATAAATTTGTCAAGTAATATTTGTATACACACTGCATATTTGAATTATGCTCCTATGCTAAGATGTAACATTGTAACCTTTGTACTTAATTTCTTGCTAATATATTTCATGATCTGTTGTTTAAATTGTATAAATGTTCCAACGGAGAACACACTTTAACGCACTTTAAGGCACGAAAAATGAACATCTCACGCACTTTTCCCGAAAAAATGACGCACGAACCAACTATGGTCTTGAACGGTGCGAGAGTCTTGGTAATTTCTTTAGCTAACTCAGTGTCTCCTGCATCCAGCCTAGCTCCAAGTCATCTAAAATTCCATGCACTGCATCTGTTATCTGGTCATATCTCTCCAATATACTGCACATTGAGATCCATTCTCCAACGGGTTTTGTAGTCTCGTTTGCAGTCTGAGTTCCTTTCCGTGCTTCAATAAACAACAATAACTACGTCTGACCATACAACCTCCAAGTTACTTACTAGATGTAGTCAGTGTAATAAGCGCCAAGCGCGAGCACAGAATTTTTTTGTCCAAATATCGTTTATATGCTTTTTAAAGTGTGCGGGGGATACGGAAACATCGAAATCCACCGTATAGCAATTTTCACTCGCTTAATTTGACACTGATATTATTTTTTTTGTTTTTGACTGTCAATGTGTAAAAACGTTTTCTTGCCATCATCCGATGAGTTTTTTGGTAAAATTTTGATACCAATATTTATCTCATCAATGTGTTATGAGTCCTACACCTTCATATTATAAATTCCTGCATTGGTATGCGAGATATTTCAAAATGAAAATTCCAGTGATCCGCGCTACGAAGAGTTCACGTTCAGATCAAAGTGTTAACGCATCAACTTTTTACATACACATAATAAATTTGGCGCGCGCGCCAGCGCTAATTCTTGCTAAAAGCATATGGTTCTTATTCTCAGCAAACAACAAAATGGCGAACCTTTTCTTTTTGCAGGTTTCATGCTTATTTTTTAGCTACTAACTTTATCATCTACTTAAATCATGCTAAACTATAGTGAGGCCGGTGAGTACAAGTTCAGAGCCATAAGTTTAAGTTTAAGATTTTATCCAGCATGTATAATTATTGTATATATACATACTGGATAAAATCTTAGATATACTACATCCGTAAAATAAGCTATTGTTTATAGCTTGTACGTAAAATAAAAAGAATGCCTTCCTAGCAGTAACAGCAGTACAGAGGTCAAACTGAAGTTTAAGTTACATGTCTAATGGAAGAGAGCATTTCTCTGCTATTTTTGTGTTTTCAAAAATAAACGGCGCATTTGATTGCATTTGATTGAACTTAATTTCAATTAAAACATATGTACAGTCATTAACAGTCATATATGAAGCTCAAATCGAATATGAAGCTATAAAATCAGACCCTTAATCGAATCGAATCGAGAGATGCTTATACAGTTTAAAATTTTGAAGTTAAAATGTCTATTTTACTAGCAGTCAATATAATATTAACTGCGGCTGCTTATTAATCATTCCATAGATGTAAGTTTTAATCAACGGTGAAAAATGTACAGTCTTTAAGTCCTCTTCATTTGTACCCCTCAAAACTGGTTAGCATTTATGTAACATTTGTTTCTCGTAAACAATTTTATTACATCATCAGATAAGAAATATTTTTAAAACCATTACTCATAATATGTACTATGATTCGAATAAATTTATAACAAAAATACAGCAGATTTCCTTCTCAGTTAGATATCAGTAATAAAGTTTAAGTTAAAATACGTTCCCTGATCCTTTCACAAGACCTTGCGAGTTATGATATTAAGAATAATTCAAGTTGATGCCGGACTTATTAATATTCAAATAACTTATTAATATTAAAATAAAATGGGTAGGCATTTTTTGTCCTGTGAAATGTGACCTCGAAGGACGTATTTAAGATTTTTAACCCGTTGAGTATATTAAATTACGGTAGTTCGGGAGGTATCCACTTTAACTACATAAATTACCTCGGTATGTGCAAGCTTTTAAAATGTTAAGGAAAAGTGACCTTTATTCCCTTTATCAAGTGCAGTTATCCTGGATTATCATAACTGGCAACATGACGTACAATTATTATCCGTTTAATCGCTTATGTAATGGAACAAATCTAATAAATCAAAAACGATGTTTAAGATGTATAATCATGTAAGATGTATGATCCGTTGAAATGGAGTTGGTCCTCCCCAAATTGGTGCCATGTCGTCTGCTTTTTATTATACTGTCGTGTGCTCACTCTTAAATGAGTGAGGCAAATACAGAATAGAGCTGCGAGACCGATTAAAACTTTGAACTAATTACAACACTACAAATTTATTATATTTATTGAGAATTATGTAATGTAACGTGATGGAAATATTTTAAATGGGCATATCCTGTCCAAACCCAGGATGTACTACATGAAGAATTCGTTGTAACTTTGTTTGAAAAGCATTAATATAATATAACGGCTCGTTGCCGATAAGCGCAGATAACTGATATATAGCAAGTGATTGCAGTAAGATAAATTCGGATTTCCGACAGATTTATTAAGTGTGGAAATGGCCGTTATATCTCAAAATGCGAATAAATATAAAACCTAACCTTACACGTCCTAGATACTGATTTTAAAGATATTGATATGTATGGTTATCGTTTCGGTTTAGAGCAATGAGTCAAAAAATTCCTTGTGAACAACTTCAGCATATGCAAAACTGTCTGTGCTGGCTGTACTTTTTGTGGGAGAGCTGTCTAAGAGCTCTTGCAGTCTTGCAGTTCTTTCATTGTTTCTTCCTCGTCAATAAGATCAATGATATCTCGTTTGGATTTTGAGTACGGTGTGGTACTTCTTTCTCCAGTTCTAACAAGTTGAAGTTGAAGTTGAAGTTGAAGTTGAACTTGTGCTTCTTAATCTTCTTATCCTGATTGAATTGAAATAATCATCGTTAGTTTATGAGATATAAGCCAATTCTTTCCAAGAACGAAATGCTTGTTAACATACTATTTTAATACTTTCAACACTACCATATAACAAATAATTTGAGATCATGAATACGATGTTGCTACATTGAAACGTTGAGTAAATTCATTTCCTGATAAGAGCATTTTTCCTTGTCGCATCAAACAGGATCAATACAATTTTACACAAGAATACATTAACATACAGAGTTAAAGTGAGGTTGGGAGGGTAATAAATTTAAATTTCTCTAAAGGATGGCGTCCACTTTAATTCAATGTTTTTAGAACTTTAGAACTTACTAACCTTTATTACACAGCATATTTCCAAAACAATTAACTTCTAGGTAAATGCAACAAAACATTATGATCTGAGTATTAAATTACCTTTTCATCTTGAGCTTTGTCAACTCAATCCGACCCTGGCATCTATTCACCTTCGTAAATCTTCTTTTTCTCCAATAATAAATTGACATCAAGTCTTGAAAATTATTCGAGAAGAATCTCGAATAATTTAGTTGCAGCGTGCCACATGGCTATCTAAACTGCAAACCCTACCCATTGCTGAGCAAGGCCTTTATCTTCTCCGACGAGCGGGATCATCAATCTGTATTAATCCCGATAACACTCGACCTCTGCCTGATCCAGAGGATATCACCATTTTACCTTTACACAGACATCGAACGCTGTAAGAAGATGACGATCAGACCTCGTTATATAGAATCAGTACCTGAAAATATTTCATATGAGATTTAAACCGATTGCCTTCGTTTTACGTTCGGTCAGATTGATCCAAGAGAGGACAGTTGATATTAACATTGTCAAAAAATGATGTAAGGAAGTCAACCTTTCTTGTCCTTATTTTGAAGAACTATACCTCTATTAGATTTCAATATTCTTTTAGAAATAAGTGGTAGATTATTGTCCACTGTCCAGCACATCAAACCTCAAGTTTAACAATGCTACCTTAAAGTCACAAAAAAAGTGACAGAATTACCATTTTGTGCCTCAACAATATAAATTTAATGCAGAAAACTGGTATGGGCTACTATATTTCTTGTATTAATCAATTCCAACAATAATAAGGATGTGGATGTGAACGAAAAATTATCAAACTTTCACAACAAATTATGTGGCGAAATTAACAATGCATGCCCTATTTTGAAGTTCACCATACCTCTATTAGAATTCAATATAACTTTTTCATCATACAAATTTCGACAAACTGGTTATCTTCCAGCAAGGAGCAAACAGAGTTATAATATTTTTTGTGACAAAATTAACCTATTTTTACCATGTAATAAGATGTTTCAATTATGACACTGTAAACGTATTACTACCACATAATAATTTATGTGACTGGTGCGTGGTTGTATTAGTGTTAATTGATTAAGCAGGGGGACTGTAAACTAAATATTTATTTTCAAAATCTTTCTTTTTCTTTTTAGTAAATTATATTAATATTATAAATCAAAACCTTATGATATTGTTATTATCTTAAGGTCAGTTACTGTTGCAACTTAAGATTTTAAATTTACATTCCTCGTATTCCTTGTATTCCTTGTATTCCAGTACGTAATATATAGGGTGTTTAAGCTGGTATTTCAATATTTGTTCAATTTTATTTTAAAATCTTCAGACTTTATGCTGTTGCATTTAAGAAAATATATGAGGAATGTTTAGGGCACCCTGACAAGGAATGCTGAGTAGTGCAGTAGGATTACTTGATGATCTGGAAGTACTGGGAATTACGATAATATCATACAGTCGCACAAATAAGTTTACTTTGTCACAATACTCTTGATGATATCTGTAAAAATTGAGCAAATATTGAGCAAATATTGAAATACCAGCTTAAACACCCTATATTACGTACTGGAATACAAGGAATACAAGGAATACAAGGAATACAAGGAATACAATGAATACAAGGAATACAAGGAATACAAAGAATACAAGGAATGCAAGGAATACAAATTTAAAATTGTAAGTTACAGCAGTAACTGTTAAGATAATAACAATATCATAAGATTTTGATTTATAATATTAATATAATTTACTAAAACATTATTTGCCTTATGATGAGTTATAATTTTGTTCACTTTTACACATTTGCTCACATCACTCACAGTCAGCCGCTCTGACATGGTTAACCACCTTCCTTGTGTTCATGTTTTTTTTGGTTAATCATATGAGCGGGATATAAATACCTCATTTCATTTCATATATTTTCTTAAATACAACAGCATAAAGTCTGAAGATTTTACCATGTTCTACGACACTCAATGTGATGATCCGTAAAATAAGATATGGACTAATAACTCAACAATCTAAAGCATGTTGACTTTAAAACCATGCTCTACCCCACTTAATGTGATGATTTTGAACACTTTCATGTCCAAGATGAAAATTTAGTATGAAATGTGTCAATTGCTACTCGCAAGAGCGTAAGAAGTTTTTGGGGTATTATAACTCAATAACCTGATGTCTGAGGATTTTTAAATAACTCTCTACCCACTCAATGTGATAATTTAGAACACTTCAATGCCTAAGTTTAGCTCCTTACTCCTTACTCCTTACTCTAATCAGAAACTGAGTTATTTTGATTGTAAGTGCTGTTATTGTTACTCGCGAGAGCTCAAAAGGGTGTGGTCATATGACAGTAGTAACTCATTAACCTGAAGTCTGAGGAGTTAATTACGCTCTACTAAATATGATGATTTAATGCCCAAATTCAGCTCTTTTATACTCCAATCAGAAACAGAGTTAATTTGATTTTAGCTACTCGCGAGAGCGTAAAAATAGGTTTTGGGCTAAAAACTCAACAGCCTGATGCCCAAAATTAGTTCCTTACTCCAAACAGAAACCGAGTTATATCAACACTGAGTTGAGAATCTCAACTCATTGTTTTAAAAACACTGAGTGGAGATTCTCACTTCGTCAACAATATCATTAAAATAAATGATTGTCCCACTCATAAGAGCGAAGAAAGATTATCAAAACAACAAACACATTGGAAATAATGTGCTTACTTGACAGAGTCAAAGGAAGCAGTTCTCCCGATTCATTTGCTCATTCTAATGTGCCAAAAACATTCATTATGAAAAGTAACGAAGTGAGAATTAATTAAAGTGAGAATTAGAAATAAATTAGAATTAGAATTAAATTTACACAGCAATACAATAAGAATAAAAATAATTTAAAGAAGCTTCAAACTGGTGTGCAGGACATTCAAGTCAGTCTAAAACTGTTAGAAGAATACCCTTCTAGTATAGGCCGGACATAAAATCAAAACATATAATATGTAATAATTAACTTATAGCTTACAGTAAGCTATAAGTTAATGAATATGGTACACTGGTACAGTGAGATATAACATTAAACTTTGGGTATGAAGGTAACCATCAAATTTAAAATGATACGAAAATTACATAGATACCCACTTGGCACTTTTATATTTGTTGTCAGAATTATGTACAAAGAAGTATATAACCATAGAGTGAAAAATGGCAACCGGTCAGACGTAAACGGATAAAGTAGAGAGACATTATATTTTGTCATACAGTTCTATATACTTCTTAAATGAAATTAAAATGAGGTAGGCAGTCATAGACTTGCGGCTTAATTTTGTCAGTAAAACACAGGGGACCCTGCTACTTAACAAAAACTCCGAAACACAGAATAAAATCAAAGATCAAGTAAATAACAATACTGCTAGGATATGCTATGTGCTGTACTTACTTACTTTACTTACTTTAATATGTCTTTGAATGAATTCTTTGCAAAAATGATATTTGTGCCCAGCTTTAATTTAACCAAGCAGCTGAACTTTAAGATAGGCCATAACCTGAGCGATAGATTTGAAAACTTAAGTGATTTGTAATTGCCAATTTACATTAGCATTTAGCAAGGCCCTATCATGTAATGACAGTGTATAATCAAGCACAGAAAATATTCCACTTTAAACAGTTTGATAACATAAAAAGAAACTTCAAGTAGATAATTGCAATAAAATAGTGGACAACTCTTGGTTTCAAGAGTTTCAAACAAAACGTTTATGAAATCAACCAGAAATTAACAGTGGAGAAGCGAATAATGTGCGCATAGCGCTCGATTTCTATCGTCGATTCGATTTTTTCATGCGTATGACGAGTGCGCGGCGTAAAAATCGCAATCTTGATGAACGCTGAGCTAACATTGCTACACGGTGGATAAAAATTATTTACATCTTGACTAAAAGATTGGTATAAAATTTTGTACAATCGGAGAAAAAAAATTCTGTGCTCGCGCTTGGCGCTTATTACACTGACTAATGCGATAACGCAAAATTTCAATTTTCACTGCCACAAATTCATACGCACATACCATCACACTGCAAATTATGCTAGCACATAGCAGTAGCACTGGGTTTAACTTTACAAACAGACAAATAGATACGAAAAATGTGTTAAATGTTGGCCATTTTACCATAATAAAAATTGGTTGATTATCGCGGATTAAGCTGAGCGACTTGTACTCACTCTCAAATGTAGAAAAAGCAGAAAAGTGGGGCCCAAGATCATCACCGATGTGGACTTTGCAGATGATATAGCACTTATATCTGAGGACATGGACAAGGCTAACGAGTTCCTGCTCAGAGTAGAATCGGCGGCAGCAAGCGTGGGGCTACACATAAACGAAGGCAAGACCATGGTCATTACACTGAATATGGAGGATCGATCTAGCGACCTGCAAAGTCGATCCGGGGAAGCCATAGAAAATGTGGATGATTTCATCTACTTAGGCTCCTGGATTGAGAGCACAGATAGGGAGATAAGGGTTAAAAAGGGAAAAGCGTGGTGTGCCCTACATAGACTGAAGGATATCTGGAAATCCAAACTCGCAAAGAGCCTCAAGATTAGATTGTTCATAGCGGCTTGTGAATCAGTACTGCTCTACGGATCAGAAACCTGGACACTGACAAAGGCTCAAGAGAAAAGTTTGGACGGGACATACACAAAGATGTTGCGTATGGTGCTGGGTATCTCATGGAAGGACAAGGTCAGCAATGTAACTTTGTATGGTAGCCTACCAAGGCTGTCAAACAAGTTACGAAGCAGGAGATTAAAAATGGCGGGACACTGCATCCGACATCCTGAGCTACTTGCCAGTCACTTAGTCTTATGGGAACCTACGTCCTACGCATGGTATAGAGCACAGCAAGGCTGACCAAGACAAAGCTACTTGTCTTATGTCTATGACTATGTAACTGAAGGAAGTTGGGACAAACTCTAAAGAGGAACTGCGAACCCTCTGCGGGACAGGGATATATAGAGGGGGTTATCTGGCGTAGATCGGACTTAGTTCCGACATAGTTGTAGTAGTGATTATCGCGATAATCCTCGAAAATTGTCGTGGTAATCGATAACGATTTTTGGGAAATTGTTCTCGATAATATCGGTTAGTAACCCTAATCTTAATATAGCTTTGAGCAACTTAAGTTCGTGACTTTCAAGTGTCACCATACTATAATTACACTGGCGAATTTTGTAAATTCATAAAGTAAAACCTACAGGAGGACGTTTTTTTTTTTTTGGTCGAGGGCGCTCACTCTACCTCCCCGGATTAGCAAGGAGGCTACGTCCGCCTTGTGGCTAACGTCTGATGGAGCTCCTGGAGGACATGAAAATTAGGGTTAAGTTTGACCCAATTTCCCGTGCTAACCAGGTTCTACCATGTGCCAGGAGCTGTCGGGACGCTTAATGTAAATCTTTCACCCCGGGTTTGACCAGGTGATATTTAGATCCACTGCTATAGTATCGGTTGTTATCTATCATACGTTCAATAATCACTGTTCTAAAAGTGACCTGTTACTCTGGTCAACACCTCTGCTGCAAGTGCATCTGCATGAGATCAAATAAGAAACTGAGAGGGTGCACGTGGACGCTAACAGGGAGCAACTGCATAGGTCTATACTGCTATTATAACGGTAATGATTATTCAACTACCGAATGAGTTGGAAATAATTGTGTTGTTATTGATATACCACAACGTAATCTTGAATTTTCGGAGCGTGACTTTTGTACTTGTAGTGCTCTTTTATTAATATATAATATTATTTTAGCTCTATGGTTGAATTGATGTGACTCATCGATGGGAGTATCTACAACACTCTTTTCGAATGATGGGGATCCAGGCAAATAAGTTTACGTTACCCGTACCGAGCATCAGCGACTGATCTCCTTGTCATACGTTGTATGACCCGCCGCGCACGAGTGCGCGGCTCCCCCTGTATCGTAGAAACTCTACAGGGGTTCCACTATAGTGAAACGACGATGGGGGTCACGACGTGATACATTGATCTCCATGGTCAAGAAATACATGACTATGAGCAATAAATTTCTTGATTCTGTACTTCTGGCATCTCCAGGTAGATCTAGTTGGGGTACCTCGAGGCTTACTGGGCCGCGCTCAGCCTGTCATTCCGCCTATTATGAACATGATCGCCTGAGGGCCCCAGGTAACCTCTGCCTCAATCCTTTCTACGTGTATAAAGAAAACCGTCTGTGTTCAGAAGTATAGTTGAGCTCTTTTTTGTCCGTTGATGTACTTGCTGATTGCTGAAGACACCTATGATTCGATACTGTGACCACTATCTTTCTTTTGTAGTTGTGCATTGATCGTGGCATCCGAGCTGTATAACAAGCGTACTAATTATAGGTGACAGGTGAGATCTGATCTAACAATTAGCGTAAGTGTTCACGAAGTGTGCCAAAAAGGATGCGATCCAATGCTCATAAACCATCAAGATCCGACCGTATGCACGAGATCCTAACCTTTGCAGGCCCTCCTAATGCATTAGATTTCATGAGATCGGAGCCAAGGCTGGCCATCAAACTAACCTGAAAATCTGATCTACAAAGATTTGGGTTCAGTTGTCGTATTTCGGAGCAATGGTAATATGACCTGGGTTCAGTTGTTTATCAGCATTTATCCACTGATAACTCTTGTAAACCTATGGAAACACATTGGAATTCTTACGCATGATTCATTTACATTCTGGCTTTCCACTTTCAGGGAAGAAAATTATAATGATAGAAAATTCATTTACTTATTCAGGGCTTTTAATTAAGTAAGCTTCAATAAAAACTCGACTGGAGATTTGGCTTACTTAAGTGTCCGGCCGAATTTTTATTTTTCCCAGACCCATATGTATTATGTTTCATATTATTATCATTCTATATCATTCTAAACATTCTGTATATTATTGGCTCAAAACTTTCGGTATCACTCCAGCAAACAATCGATTAAATTTGCTTTTTCATTACATCTTTCAAAACATTCGCTCGCTGCTTTTTCCGGCAATTCGGTAATGTAGCTACGCACGGTTAAGGAACGGTTAAGGCACGATTAAGGCGCAAGGGTTACATAAGGCACGGTTGAGGCACGGTCATTTAAGGCACGGTTAACGCACGGTTAACGCATGGTTAACGCACGGTTAAGGCACGGTTAACGCACGGTTAACGCACAAACTGCCCATAAGCAACCATTATGGTCGCTTAAGACACGGTTTACGCACGGTTAACGCACGGTTGGGGAAATATAACCTATAAACATACAAGTGGTTAATTACTTACCACCCAAGATAAGTCCGATAAATCCCAGACCAAGGACAAGGTGGAGGCTTCTCATCTCAATAAGTTATTACAAAGTATTTCACAGTGGGGAGACAAAACAATCAGTTCACTATAAATATGTGCCTCTGGGTTATATATTAATTACTCAATCTGTTTGTCCCTCATCAAAGGTAGTCACTCTCGGCGACACAAATATTTTGCGGGAAGCAGATCATTATTTTATTCCACGATGTACTCCGAAATATTTATACGACTCGCATAGTTTACATTATAGAAAATGTTTGTTGAAAAGTAAGACTTAATTTGCTAAATAGTACAACTTCATAAGATAAGAGGACAACATAATAAAAGAGTAAGAAAATATTTTTCTAAAATCACCAGATATACAAGTCAAAACCTGAAGTTCCAAGTATTATAAATGACCTGTTTATAGGCTATTAATTTTAGGTCATGTCTTACGTTGAACAATTAAGACAGTTGGATAAAATACAAATAAAAGAAACGTTGACAATTAGTATAATTTCAAGACGATAAAAATGGGAGTAAAGAGTCTATTCAATAACAGAGTAAAGTCCGTGGGAAATCTCCCGTGCTCGAATCGAAGTGCCCTCCTTGCTGAAGTCTGCTTAGAGTCTTAGTTAGATACGTATTGCGATGTTGCTGTGACGTCACGTTGCAGTGCAGATGTGCTGGGATAAGAGTGGTGTCCGGTGTCCAGGCGATGTACGTGTCCAGGCGATGTACGTGTCCTGCTCCTAGTCGTGGACGCGTTAACATTGTAATAATTAGCCACTGAGTTAACGGCTGTATTACTTCGTGTTTAAAGAACCATGAAGCCCCGGCTGATAAGAAGAACGCAGTGAGCGTCTGCAGGAAACAGCTGGTGTTGAACTTTATCTTACAACGCCGTCTACCGTCCTTTAAACCCGCTTCTGAACTGATAAGAGAGTTGCACTTTTATAATTGAAACATAATAACTATTATTGGTCATAATTTACTCAATATAGATATATAATCAATAATGTGATTTATACAGGGTTTCAAAAGTCTGGCGAGGATGTTCTTGTTGGATAACTTTTAATCTATTTGTCTAAACTTTATTCTGTAAAATGTTATTGGTAGAATTCTAAGGTTTAATGGTGACTTCTCAAGTTTTTACGTTACCATGAACACCATAGCAACCGCAATCAGTTCTATACAATAGATTTATAATGTGTTATTTTCTGCTGAAGACAGGATGAAACTTCAAACTGAAATTAGACGTGGAGGATGACCTCTAACTTAGTTGCTATAGTTATACGCGAATTCTTCTGTAATGTCAATCATGGTCCACTGGAAGCCTTTGCTGCCGCCTACTAGCTGAACTATTTTGTCAACCCGCAAACCTGGATAGAGTTGGCCAATATCAAAGCTTCATAAAAATTGGAGGTGGAATGTTATAAAATTATATTACCCTGATTTTCCTGCGCAGCACTCATGTCTCATAATAGCCAAGGTATTAATATTATGGTATTAGTATTACATCAGTCATGAATTAAAGAATCGATAACATGGTTCTATTCTTTTTCGAGGTTTAATCCGAATGATCGTAAATTGTAACTAACCAGCTTTAGCTCGGTGAAATTCTCGCATAATGTTTACCCCAATAGGTTCTTTTGCGATAGTGTAAACGCGACAACTAGCGCTGGATGGTGACAACTACAAACTAGCGCTGGATAGCGCTAGTTCGATCAAGTTGTCGCCATCCAGCGCTAGTTGTCGCTAGCTAGCGCCATTAAACGCTGGCCAGCGCAAAATATAAATGTTCGCTAGTTGTCGCCATCCAGCGCTAGTTGTCGCCATCCAGGCAGCGCTAGTTGTCGCTATCCAGCGCTAGTTGTCGTTATTATCCAGCACTGGCTGTCGCTGGCTATGCGACATTGTCGAACCCGAAAGTTTGCGATGGCCAGCGCCTCAAACTATTCCAAAAAAACAGTTCGATAACTAGCGCAAGCCAGCGCTGACTAGCGCTGGCCATCGATGGCCAGTGCAAAATGTTTGCGATATTATTATTAATCGTCAGCTAGCGCTGGCCAGTGTTATGTCCTGCCTAATTTAGTCAACATAGGTATTAAATCTAGTCCTAAAACCCAATATTCTAAAAACTCAGTAATTTCTCCAGGTATTCCATTTTCTATTTCTTGGTTGATTTTATCTTCATATCGACAGATGTTATCTTCATTATCGTTATTAAAGTATATGTATTTGAATCTGACTCTTACTATACCGTATCAAAGCCATCAGACGTCACAAGACCGCCTTGCGGCTGCACCCATACCTCTAACAGATACCGATAACATGCGACCCTATAACCGACCGACCAGCCTTGTCTGATCTATGACCACCTTTCTACCTTTGAGACCTGATACGCTGCCACCTAGCTGAGATAACACTAAACGGGCAGTTCCTAAGAACAGAGATCACAGACTGGAGGACGCCAACATTCAACAGCTGCACACTGTAAGAAGGCCTGTCATAGCACTACAGGTGGATTTCCGTAGCTCTCTGGACATGTTATTCCCCTTTTCATTAAATCCAACCGGCCATTACTGATATAAAATATTGTATTCAACCAATTATCAACCTTAGCACCCCCAGTAACACTAACTTTTAATAATCCCTAGATCACTACCCTCGGTGATTCCTTCCCCCTAAAGCTCCTACCAATGCACTCAGATATTTCTTAAAAGGTACGTCTGAGAGCTCAGGATCCCGGTATAATAGATATCTTACTATATATAATTATAATTACTATATATAAAGCGAGACGATATATAAACAGGATTAAACAGGATTAAACAGGATTAAACATAAATTTGTCAATGAGAGCCCTAACACTCACGTCTTGACTATACATCAATATAATAGAAATAAATAAATAAATAATGTGCAAGAGTTTTCTTAAAATAAAAATTTAAAAATCATAAAAATTTAACTTCGTCACATCTTTTGTTGAAAGAGAAACAAGTGCAAATAAAATAATTTAATTCCCATGAACATGTCCCAAAATGATATGATATGGTGATCGTGATATGAAATGAAATGAAGCTCGACTTGACCGTCACGTGTCCGCAGAGGAGTTCTGTTGAGGTGTAGCGGGGACTTTACAGCTGGACTTCAGCAGATCCTTCTTAGTGACTTCCTTCTTCGGGAAACGCCTGTTGTTTGCTCTCACCAAGAACCTCGCTGTCTCTCTTATGAGGCTGGCATCTTTGAATAGCCCCTCTAAGTTAGCGAAAAGACAGGTTTTGGCTCTCTGACTAAAGCGGTGTCGGTAGTCTTCATACAGGGAGCAGGTCCGGAGGACGTGTACCTCATCTTCGATGATGGGGTCGAAGAATGGCATTTCTGCGAAATTTTCGAGCATGTCCATGTCCTCTGTTGAGCAAGCTTTACATATCCGAGGTACGATCTGGTTTCTTTTGTGGGTTCCATGACGTCTTGTCTCAATATTGAAATTGTGTGAGCTTGATCTGAATTGAGCCAGCTTTTTGGATTCAGCGTGCGACAGATTCATATTGAGGTACTGCTCATAGCCAAAACTCATCTTTATGGTGTTGTAGAACGTCAGTTTCTTGTTGTTCCATCTCTCAGTGTTCCATATCTGCCTGAAGTTGGAACGCATCGCTTCTTTGATTTGTGAAGGTGAGAGTTTTAGATGATGTCCATTGGGTTGGTTTAGAACCGACCGTGCAGTTTCGATGTTGGTGTTCCAAGAAAGACTGAGGCTGCGTTGCTTTTTGAAGGCATGTCGCACAAGACTTTTTTTTTTTTTTTTTTTTTTTTTAAGAGAGGCTGGGCCGAGATAGCCCACGAGAGGATAGCATTGAGATGCTCTGCCTACCTCTGGGGTGTGGCAACCTTGGGGAAGGTTGCCGGTGAAATCAGAGTGATTGGTGGAGGATGGTGTAAGATGATATATGAGTCAAAATGATACGCTTAAATGCCAGCTGGGTTTGGAAAAGTAAAACGAGACGAGACAGCATATGAAATAATACTTTAAGTCACCCCGGTCTGATCCAGCTCTTCCGGCACAATTAAGCGTTTGGTGCGGTTTGCGAAATTGACAATTGTGGTGATGTGTTGGTTGTCGAATATGTCATTGACAGAGAGGTAGTAGTCCTGGAAATATTGACCTCTAATTTGGGCAATAGCTGGACACTGTCCAAGGAAGTGTGAGACAGTTTCCTCTCCGTCGCCGCACATAGGACAAGCACTGGTGTTTGATTTGCAAATGGTATGAAGGTGTTTGTTTAAGCCGCAGTGACCCGTGATGAGGTGAACTGCAGTTCTGTAATCTTGTCTGTTTTTGCTGAGTGTAGTGTTGAGGTTTTTGATGATTTTGGCATGCTTGTGGCCGAGTGTCAGTTTGGTGTGTCTGGGACCGTCAGTTAACCAAGTTTCCTGATTCAGTCTGTTGACTTTGTTGTCGATTTGACGCTTGATGTAGGATTGTGGAATTGGACACTTCAAAGTGGATTCACTGGTTGTACCAAGCTTGGCCAGCTCATCTGCTTTTTCGTTTCCCCACAATCCGATGTGTGCTGCAATCCATCGTATCTCTAGCGTGTTGTTGGATCCGAGTGCATTAAGAGAGTCGTAACAGTCTCTTGTAGTTCTACTCCGCGTTGAAAGCGCAGAGATAGCTTGTATAGATGAGAGACTGTCAGACCATATGATGATATGTGTGTTGGTATAGGTAGAGAGATATTTGCAAGCTTCAATGATGGCGGTGAGCTCTGTTTGGTAAACAGTGCAATAATCAGGGAGCTTGAATGATCTTTCTTCAAGGGTGGTGTTATTGTTGTCAGTTGTGATGATATAGCCAGCCCCGCATCCTGAGTCTGTGAGTGACCCGTCAGTGTAGCAGGTGATCGTTTCACTGGTAATGTTGTCAATGGTGTTTTGAAGTGAATTTCTATATTCAGTGTTATCGGCTCCAGGAGTTGTGACGGTGAAGTGCCGTCCCAGCATCATGGTTGGTGTTGTTAGGTCTCTCGTTGCTCTAGGTGGAATAATGAGATCTGCCATGAATTGTTTGTTGATAGTGGTATGATTTTTGATAGTTCCCTTCCTGAAGGC